AGTTTTTTGGTTGAAAAAAAGCGTAACTGTTTATGAGACAACCTAATACATGTCTTCTAATACGACCACGAGAATGGAAGTTTTCCCTTGTGAGTAGTTGGATTTAGCTGTAGTCACATGGAAGAATGGAAGGTAGAGAAAGAGATTAAAATTTGCAGGATCTGTTGTAGATGAAAAGAGAGGAAAACAACAAAACGGTTTTGTTTAACGCAGATGACACATAATTGTTCTTTTGCCAACTTAGCAACACCTTTCAAGTAGAACAATTTTACCCCCAGTACTCTTCGTTAATTCTGATTCTTCGTTTCAATGTTGAATCCTATCAACGCCAGCTATTGGTAGGGGAGAAAAGTAAAGACGAAGGCCGTTTTTTTCTAAAGTCGTCCGACCCCATCTGCGGAGAAGCTCATAAAAAATCAGGAACTTTCGGGCTGAAAGTTCATTCAGCTCCACTACATAGCTCTGAACTTGTGTCGACAAAGGACCACCTACTCTAATCTCTAGCGCTTTCCCTAGGGAGGAAATTTTACTCTAGATGACATGATTTTTGAGCCGAATCCAATCTTTCTTCGATCAGATCTCCATGAAATTCCAAATGAAAGCGAGCGACTAGCCTCTCATGCGTAGGCAATATTTTGGAGATAATCGAGGCGTGTTTGAATAAGCAACCACTTCAGATAAATAACAAAAATTTGTCCACTGGCAAGTAATTCACTAATTATGGGAAAACCTAATAAAGGCACCGTGGGCAACAGACCAGTGAAATAAATGAGTATAAGAAAAAAAACAGTAGAACGTGAGAGAGCAGTAAAATTTTTTCTCCCTTCCAGTTCACTTGCGATTCTTTGCCCATGCTAAAAAAAGCATTTTACCTCCACAGCAGATCCGTCTATTTGGACGATGTCAGACTTCGCGAATCCAGCGATATCGCTGGATACGAGCGTTGCACCAGCGAATCGAACTGTTGCACCAGCGAATCGAACTTTGTGCCAGCGAGTCGAACGATGTACCAGCGAGTCGAACTAGGTACCAGCGACTCAATAGTGGCGGGACCCAACGTGCAAAGGACGTCCCCCCTTTCAAGCGCTGGTGTAACGCTCGTCCCAGTTTCCATGAAAATAACGGTATTTTCGGAAGGATGCAAGTATCATTAGAAGACAAAAACGTCACATCCAACCATCGCTCTCCAATTCTACTCAGTCAAATGATACGGCAAAAGCTTTCGCTATCTGCATCGAAAATTACTATTTGGACAGGTCAAGTTCAACTCCCAGAATTGTGTGAGAGTCCATGATGCCCCCACGGCTGGGTACAGCCCGCCTCGAATTAGCTCGAAGGAACATCAGAAGAGACTAACCGTAAGATTGAGGTGGGTGGTTCTATAGGAAAGACAGGAACCTTTATTTTAATGGCTCGTTAATGCTCTATTGAGTTTGAGTTGTCTTTTCCGATAAGAACAGGTTAAAATTAACGTTGGAAACCGCACTTGTTTTAGGTTTTCCGGCCGCGCAAAACTTCATTGAATTTTTTGGGAAGCTTATCAAGCGAATTGGAGAGAAAAAACCTACTGCGTGACGCAGAAGAAACCCGATCCATGAAATGGAAAGAAAAACAAAAGAAAAACTTGATATGTTTCCAAAATGTGGAGTTTAAGGCGCCACGCGGTCGAGGGACTGCTGCCCACATATGAACTCATGGGCTCTAAGGTGTTAAAACGTTCCGGATGTACATCACAGCTGATGAAGGGTCTCAGAAAGAATCCCACGCTCTGAAGGGAGGATTCCACGATATGTTCGAAGGTCGACGAAGGAGGAACTCCCTAGTGGAAGACATACGGACCCCTAAGGTACAGACCGACACGTTCGCAGTGAAGGAAATCCCCTGTGGTCTAGCATGGCCCACCCCGCGGCGCTATCGGCACGTTACGCCCACCGACTAGTTGGTCACTTGCCACATGTCTCTAGCTGTTCAGCAGAGAGGTCCTCCAAAAGTGGCTATGTCAACGAAATCAATGTAAGATTGGCCCATATGCAGGCCAATCTCAATCCTATGGAAAACATCTAGGGAACTGTTGAAGCATGTCTAAACCAGTGGAAAGCAGTGAATATCGTGGAAGATCTCAGGTGTGCTGTAAAGACCTCGTGGTACCTTCTGGTTGCCTAGAAGAGGCAGCGTGCTGTTCACTAACCATGGCTACAAAATCAAAAATGATTGACGGGGTTATTGTTAAAATCTTGTCTGGATTGCTTTTACACTAAGGTTCCACACATCAATCTCGTTTGGCAGAAGAACACCTCGAAGAACGTCGTAGACGACAAAATTTACCTTGCGCAGGGCAGATTTTGAGCCCACTACTCTCTTCGGCACTATTCAACTATTACAACCTCAAAACTCAAAAGTAGTACTATGGGGCTTGACCGGGTAAATTACAAGCTAAAACTTCCAACCGACTTCAGGTCCTGAAGACGACGAGTTGTTCGAAACGTCGACCGAATAAATAGTTCCATCGTAACAACCTGTATGGCAGAAGAAAAACAAACAATAGTCCAGTAAGGATCGCAAAAAGTCAGTCAGCATTAGAGGTCCAGGGCCCAAGGTTGGAATGGTAAGATGAAACACTACTTCTCTACACCTCGATATAATCCCAAGCAAAGGCACATAGACTTGGATAAACTTCCTACATTCTTTGGCTCTTTACTGAATGGAGCTAATGAAGACTCAGGAGCACAATATCATCTTACAAAACAAACGAATAAGGTTATTGAAGAGAGTGCACACGATTCCAGCCACGGAACAAAAGAGAAACGCGGCGAAAGAATGACTAAAGCTACCAAAAAGGTAATCTCATATGAAAGTTTGAAAAAGGGAATGAAACAGGGATTTTTGGGAATGGGTGTGCAGCCACACTCGCGGAAAACGCTCGAAGCATGATTTTGCGGGAGACGACGACGCGCTCCGTCGCGAACGTCGCGACGCGGCCGCGTCGTGCCTTTAGGCATCGTGTATTTTTGTTATGCGGGCGCACAAGTTATGCGATGGGGGCAAAGCAATGCATTCGCAACGTGGAGGCTTCTTCAATGGCCTTTTATAGAGTTCTTGACTTCCATGTTCCATAAATACCTCTAAAATGAGGAGGAACTCCCATATCCATGTGCACAATGTTCCCTAAATCGGAATTGCACCGTTGACATGTAATTAAATCTTCTTCTCTTCTTGCCGTTGCAGTGCTTCGTAGTTTTAATCATCGTTGCGGTTTCGACTTGATCAAAAATCAATAGGAATATTTCGAATAGGGACAAGCGGAGGATTTGGTGCGCAACGTGACCCCGTTTTCACTTCACGTCGAGGATGGCCTTCAAGGCAGTGGTGTTGGTCGGCGGTCCGCAGAAAGGTGTGTCGTCTTCATCATGTTCCTGGCTGCTGGAGCCCTTCTATCGCTCTATATCTTTTTTCTCGTCCTACCAATCGTCGTTATGGCCTTTGTACTTCAGGGTTGTCCCCTCAGTTTGTAAATGCTAGGTGTGTCTTTGTGAAATGTAAGCATTGTGGGGATTTGGAAGATGAGGTAGCAGATACCAGGGTCAACCGTTCCAGTGTGGCTTTAAAATGAGGGATGGGTCGCATTTTATGATTTTTGGGGAGATAGTCGTATATAGTCGTAGGCGACATAAAATTCACCATATACGTAGAGAAATCATACTTTGGAAAAACTGGCACGGCGGGTCTCATCCAGTAAGGGGTGGGGGTGAGGGCAATGTGGCCTAGAGCGCTCAAAGTATCCAAAACCACGTAAAGTATGCCCTTCCATTGTAAACGTCCAAAGCCTTAGAAGAGGAAGAGACCCCCGGGTATTAGCAGGTCGCAACTTCAACGGAATCCTTGAGCCAAATTGGCATCAGAGCAGACTGTGCACTGCAGTGCTTCCTCTTACCGGATGAGACCCAAGAATATCGCTGAGTCCTCGCGAGTTCTGTCATTTTTGGTCGAAGTTGAAAATGTGTCGGATTGAACAACCACCACTGACACCAGCAAAGTCGAAGGTTGAGGGATGGGTGTTTCATATATGTGAAGTTTAGCCACATGCTACAGTTGACCCTGGCAGCTACCTCTCTTCTTCACGTGTTTAGGAAATTATTAACCGAAGTTGCATTCAGGAACTCGATTCCGTCCTCTCTCTCTTCAGTTGCCCAAACCTCTTTTTCCAATCGCTGGCGTTCCACTTGTGGAACACCATATTGATCAACTTTCTCAGGTATGCCTTTTACATACAGTGCTTTTTTCGGTAAAACTGTGAGAATTGATCGCCTTCACCATTTTGCGCCAAAGCTAGTGAAATGCGGTACATATCCAAGCATGGCTTATTCCAATATAGTGTGATGCGGAGTAGGTGTTGTATGTGTTCATTAGAGTTCCTTTACACCTGTTATAATCGAAGACTTTCCGGATGGAATTGGCATAAAAAGAGAGGTTGATTAATACGTACTGAAATGATGTAATAAGTCAATTCGTTGGATTTCTCGAAAAATCAGTAAGGCTGGAGTTCAAATAATCAGTGCATATCCAATCTTTCGCGGATTATCCGATTTCCCAATTATGAGAGTGAACTGGTCATTTCATATATAATCCTTCTCGCAGAGGCTGATCATCCGTCCTCGGATAGGCAGATGTGGTTTTCAGCTCTCAGTTTTGCGGCCACCAAACTTCACCAACACGAATCCGCATCAACTTGTTCATTAAGCAATTGATTTAGACGATGTCATTAGTTTAACGAATCAATATCGCTGGATCCGAAAGTTCGCCAGCGACTCCGGACGCATGTACAGTCGATATCCGAAAGTGGGGTAGGTGTGGCACCGGAATTGACGTGTACTTGATAGAAGTTGCGTGGATGAGCTGTTTCCAGCATGCTTTGCTGATATCCAGCGATGTATGCTGGCAACAGCTTATCCACGCAACTTCTATCAAGTACACGTCACATCCGGTGCCACACCTACCCCAACTATCGGATATCGAGTATACTAATCTTGTCGAACGACTGCACCATGAACCCATAGTCGGCAAAACCAACTGCAATGTGATAGCCCGCCATTCCAGACAGTTCCACTGTCAAATCTCGCCGCAACTTTCCAAAAAAGGTCCACATCTGTCATGTGACGACTGTTCTTAAAGTAGCGTTTCCCTTTAAAGCGTTGGTCCCGCACTATTGAGTCGCCGCGAACATTCCGTTGGACTTACGCTAGCTGCATAGTTTGTATTGCCCTGGTGCACTCACGGTCGATTCGCTGTGCAACGTTCGATCCTGGCGAACGCTGCGGCATCCAGCGATTCGCTTTGGCGAATCGCTCGATTTCGCAAACTATCGACTCGGCCTCAAAAACAGCGGCAGCACAGTGTGTTTATGCGCATTAACACGTTGACGACATCGCGCGTTTTGGGTTTTTGCACCGCGTGGGACCAGAGCGATTTTGCGAGCGCCGCCGCCGCACACCAAATCCATGGATTTTAAGCTGTAAATATGCAATACTTAGATGCGATGAAGTGTTTTCAATAATGCTTCGATCTATCTAACTTATCGGGAGTTCGACCGAAATGTTTTACTTACCCCTTTAGTGGTTCCAAAATTAATTTGGACATGGTTGTATTCGCTTCTGTTACCCCTTTTTGTCGACGTATTTACGTTTAACAAAAATACAGATAACTGAACAGACATATCCGTAAGATCTGGAAAACCTCTGCCAAACTAAAGAATATTTGGCCTTTCTGCGAGCCATGTGTTTTTAGTTATGCTTATATATGGCTGGCCCATAGAATGAGTACAAGAGAAATAAGTCGCGCAACAAGCGCAAGAAAAAGGGATGACTCGGGTGGGACGCGATACCGCGCCACAATGTCCCACGAGATGTGCAAAGTGGGACGCTTTACCGCGTCACGCTGTCGCCAACTTATTAAATTAACGCGAATGTTGAATATTTTCAATTTCTGGATTTTAACACAAAAACATGCGCATTAGTATCAGACGAAGTATCCTTCTGTGAAAAGTTACGTTTAAGAATCCTTCTCCATAATTGTTTTTGAATGTTCGGGTGTGGTTCACTTGGCCAGAAAGTCGCTTTTTTGCTCTAGTGAACCAAATCCTGAATGTTCTTCTATTCTTGCATATCTAAGTTACTACGATGATCATAATTTTTAGCTTCCTGGACTCTCTGAAATTATTTTGATTGGTTCTTATTCTTCCGATCTTTTCACGGATTTTATTGACAGATGTCAGCAGACTTACCGTATTTCAATAAAATATGCTCAGGAACAGCAACCTTTAGGTAAGGTGTAAGGCTTTTACATTTACGTTTGTCATAATTAATACGCGAACCATTGCTAGGATTCTCTTACTGTTACCTGCGAAAGAGTGTGGCTTAATTGTACGATTATTTCACTTTTCGAGGCGATCTAACTCCCATCTTTTTTATTTTTTTAGGTACTGCTGGCGGTTTGGTGGCACACAAGGACACCATTATCGGGGATTCACCTGAAGGGTTATTTGTTATCAATGGTGATGTATGTGGAGACCTTCCTGTGGATGAAATGGTCACGCGTATTGCTTCCTTACCCAGTGACAGCTGTCTGCTCCTGACAACGGAGGCTACTCGAGAGCAAAGTGGAAATTTTGGAAATGTTAGTTATTTTTAGTTGACTGGAGATTTTACGCTTTTTACTCGGTAAACTTTTTGAATTTTGTTGATAATTTTGATAATTTGGATGTCATTTAAGAGCTCGCAATCTCCGTGCGTTTTATCTCTTACATATTTCTATTGGTAGAAGTTGTTGCTAGCACGTAATAACTTCGTATAGCATACATTATACGAAGTTATAATCATATCGGGAAATTCTGCTGGAGTCTGCTTGCCGAAGCCAACGTAATTGTGGGAAGAACGTACTTTCGGGAACAACGATTATAGAATGTTTCGAAGAAGTTTAATCCGGAACAAAACTCGCATGCAAAGAGCCGGCTGATTGCGGGAGATCAACTGGTAATTGGGACAATTATACCAATATCATATTCCAAAATTTGTTGGAGATTGCGAGATTGAATTGAAATTGATAAAAATAGTTTGCAAAACTCGAAAATGGAGGTCGACTAATGGCAAATCCTTTCTTCCTTGATGACTGCACGTCGTGATGGCGATCCACCTAGTGGATGGACATTAACATTGTTTGTATATTGTATCCCCTAAGTTTCGCCGAAAGAAGGAAGCGTCTCACTGAACTTTCGTTCCAATTCAGCACCGTGTAGAGGTGTTTTTATTAGCATGTGTTCATGAAAAAATTCCACACTTCAGGTAGTAATCGACAGCAATGGCCGTGTTGTGCATTACGTGGACAAGCCCACGACATTTGTTTCAACTCATATTTCTTGTGGAGTTTATTTAATGAAACCAAGCGTCATCATGGTGAGTCTTAAGCGTTTTCCATGTCCTTAGGTCAAGTTTCGGTTCTGAAGTATTCGATAACTGAAATCCAATCGAGTGTTTTGAAATGAGTCGGTTGTTCCCAATTTCTAAAAACCTATGTGTTGTGTTGAACAGCTCATTGAATATCTAATCACCACATGGCTTGCAGGGACTGAAAGTCGAACCCGCATGTATTTATGGTTCGAGACAGACATTTTTCCTCAAATGGCATGTAACGGAAAACTTTTTGCTTTGCATACTACTCGTTGGTGGAGTCAGACGAAGACCGCAGCGTGAGTTTATTTCAGAAGTTTGGGAATAAGAAATATTGGGTACTTAGACGACTTGTTCATCAGCACGGCGATTGGCTTTGCATGGATCTTGACTTCTTTCCCAATCTTCGGTTTTTCTGCCAAGTGCACGATCACCACAAGAGATTCCATTCCCATGTACGCTGGCGACATATTCGAGAGCTGGCTATCGTAAGACGTCAAATAAACACGCTCTTTTTTCGTGAGGGTGCTGTCGCCTGGTCGGCCAAACACTTCCATCCGTTTTTCACACCTCTACTTTAACACTTAATCGCTGGATTATCTCAATTGCTGCCTGATCTGGTTACCATAGCGGAATCAGTTTACGGTGGTCGGCAGCCTTCTATCTGTCCTTTTTGGATTTTTTCTTCCCATCTCACCTGTAGGTCCTGTGTCTCGCAGTTGGTGTTATCCCTAGCGTAATCCGTTGTCTGCATTACCTTTTAGTAGGTGTAACGATGCTGTGATTTATTTCAGAGCAGTGTTATATGCGAATCGGCATTATCTTCGTCTATTCAAGAAGAGATACGCAGCTCGTTTATGCAAGGATCGCGCCCAGATTGTTGGTGATGTGTTCATCGATCCAAGTGCCGAGGTCTATATGATTTTTCTACCATATTCTTCTTTCTCCGTATTCTTTTTTGTAAATCTCTGCATCAGTTATTCTCATTTTTGTTTGTTGTATGTGCCGTTCGAGGTTGATGGATGGAACATTTGTTCAAAATTAGGCACGCTTTCAAATGGCTAAACTTTTTTCAAAGTAGACCCATTCTCCATAAGAAATAAGATTTGGAAGCTCTCGACGAGTACTTTCTAATATTACTGAAATTGTGGAAAATGTAATAGTAAAAAAATAGCGTTTTGGGTAAATAACATGGCAAATTGCCAGTTTTTGCACTCTCAGAAGTCATCACTTTCTGTAATTGTGACAATTTAGAACGATTTTTGTAGCATTATAACTGGATGATTTGCTTTATCTAAGGGTTACTAAAACATTTTGGTTTGCCCAGGATGCAGAAATGGCTCAGTTGAGAATATTGCAAAAATAGCAGGAAGATTTTTGAAGTGCGCGAGTTTTTGCAATTTCATGAGCCGTAACTTCTTCCAAATGTATCTAATCAAGAGCGTAATATGGCGTGCAAACAAGAACTTTTCATTTAAAGGTTTTTAGAAAAAAAATGACCCGTTCAGCATGTAAAAATTGGTCCCGGTGAGGATCTTCGTCCGAGTACCACAAAAAGACTTCTTGGTGCGTTGTCATTCCATCACCGACCATAGCTTCTTTCATGGACAATTTGATACAAAGTTAAGGGCTGTGGATTTCACAAGCTTTCTCCTTTTTAATAGGTGTGGAAGTGTACTGCACGATTTCAGTTCAATAGTTATATGTTTGTGAAGCAAACGCTGAAAGTCGTGAATTCAGGTACACAAATCTGCTAAGATTGGGCCTAATGTTAGTATTGGTCCAAATGCGAAGATAGGAAAGGGTGTAAGAATCAAGGTATGTATTCACCTTGCGTCTAATTAACCTTCAATAGTCCAATGATTTCCTCTTTTTTCATTATAGGAATCGATAATCCTCGCCGATGCAGTAATAAACGAGCATGCATGTGTTTTGCATTCTGTTATTGGGTGGCGTTCAGTGGTTGGAGCATGGTCTCGAGTGGAAGGCATTCCAATTGCACCAAATCCGAATTTACCATTCGCCAAGGTAAGTTCTTCTTGTTTATTAATGTGGAGGCATCTGAAGGTGTTGTAACCGGAGATTGAATCGAAAGACCAGATTCAAGCAATATACCTTACTCTTTACCCATTGAGCAATTTCAATGGTGGAAGTTGTACTACTATATAGCAAGGAATAGGATCACGCATAGCGCTGTGGTTTTTACCAAGTTCTGAGATTTAATTTGGCGAGAACTTGCACGCGAACACTGTTCGCATTCCCACAATATTTTTGAATTTTGCAAAAGAGTGCCGAGAATTGCTTAACCCCGGAGAGATTACGCAGGGAGGCGTTTTTCTACCCATATGCAAAGTTACCAGAGGTGCGCTATGATTGAAAGAAACGTAGGATTAGGCTTACCATTATACTTAGGCTAATGCTTACACATCGGCTTGGGCTTGGGCTTGGGACTCAGGCTCATTTTTAAGCCATGCTCCATTTTCCCCGACCCTATGGTGCCACATACAGTGGATAACCGTACTTGATAGAAGTACGCGTGGACAAGTCAATCAGATATGAACTCGATATATGAACTGTATGTGCCGCGTAAAAGTCCGCATTTACGGCTCACTTGGTGGGGGATAAGGTTTACGGACTACTTGAACTTTCTTCCATGGTCCTGCCACGAATGGCGGAGGGCACAGACAGTTAGAGAACGGCGCCTGGCTCGGCTCAAATCCCAGGAAGGAGGTGAGAGCCCTAGGACTAAGCCTTGTAGGAGGGAGGGACTTCGAGGTGGGTGAGCCAACTACAGTGTGGCAAAAGTTTGAATGTGTGTGATCACAATGGTCATGAGCCGCTGATAAGGTGAGAGAGCGCAGACGAGAGATGGATCTGAGGCGGCTTAAAGGACCGGGTTCAAGTAGTCCGTCAACCAATAACAATGTCCACCCGACTTTCTGCAAGTCCTGAACTAGCTGATGTCTGAGCAGTGATTTTTGGCCTCTGCAGTGAAGTCAAAGTCCGCAATTACGCATAGATTTTTCGATGTTGCTTCTTTCGTAGGATTTATATTCATTGCTAAAAGAATTCCTACAGTGCAGTAGTCTTCAGATTGTGCGCTGAAAGAGATCTTGTTGGGTGATTTTGCCTGCTGGCATCGCCTTTTTTGGATGTTTGTAACTAATTGTCATCGAATATATCAGAATTTTGAAACTGAAATTTTTCACTTATAAACTTGATCATTACCTTCTCCAGCTCGAGAACAAACCTTTGTTCTTGTCGGACGGACGTCTCAATCCATCGCTTACGATTTTGGGATCTGATGTGTCGATCGCTCCCGAGACTATCGTGTTGAACTGCGTCGTTTTGCCGTATAAGGAGCTTTCCTGTAGTTATAAGAATCAGATTATTCTATAGATTTACCTAAATGTGATTATATTCTTTGAAGTTCGTGGGTCTAGGGGTTGCTTATGTACTTGCTTTCCTCTTCGTTGGTCTGTGATTATGTGACATTTGTCAGATTAGACGGTCGTTTTTAACTATTCTTAAAATTCTTAATTATTTTACAAATTATGCAGAGGGAATTGTTATTTCTCATATACACTTTAGTGTACTCAGTGATCATAGATTAGAGCAGAGCATCGAAGCGCTAAATTACCTTTTCCGAAGCTTCTATTTTTGCCCTTGTTGGAACTCTGGCACGTCAATAAATTATGTACTCTAATCTCACAGAGCTGCTTTGTTTGGTTTTCATCAGCCTGTCATATGTCCTAACAGTATGAGGACTGAAGGGTTGTAGGCTGAAGTGCTTTTCGAAGTAAGTTGTAGCCGTCTGGTGTATCTTCAGACGCAGATAACATCTGTTTTTCTTACATCTGTTGTCCAGTCAAGGCAGAGCATCACACTCAAAATGGGCTTGAGGTGCGGATGGCACCGGCAAATAGTTCAGGAGCTTTACGATTAGTTAACATCTTTTGAATTAACAAATTTCCAGCAGAGGCCGTTCAGATCATGTTACCTTTTAGACGTTTTTTCGCACCTGTCAAATGGTCGCAGGAACACAAAAGGGCTGAAAATAATTGCTATGGGCGGCCACGGTGGCGAGGGGTTTGTGGCTCGAATCCACCGGCCATGGACTGTATGATGAATCTTGAGAGAGGACGAGGTCCCCGACCAAACATAAATGCGGCCCCCTTCCAAGGAGGGGGTTTT